AGATGTTACATTCAAAATTTATTTAATACATACATTTTTTAATACGCGGAAAATACAAATCAGAAAATACAAAATAGAAAATAAATAAGCATACAATAGAGAAATTGTCACAAATAACCATTCGATATACTAATTTATCAATAAAAATATAAATGTGGCACAGCAGCAATATATGCATTATTATTTGCAGAAATATAAACACAAATTTTTGCTATGTCTTTTGTTGCGACTATGCATAAATCTGTATCAATGCTTGTAACCTTACATAAAAATTTACTTTCGTCACATAAAATCGTATTAATGTTATTATATATCGTATAGGCAGCATTACAGTCAATATCAAGAAGAAATGATATAAGTTTTGCATACTTTCCATCAACTAATTGAGCATATGAATTGTTTGATCGATTATTTTTTAAGAAACACGATGTGTACAGACAACCACATTTAACTATTCGATGATATTGTTTTGCTGAATATTCTGAAAGGTTGAACCTCGATATTATATTATGTTCAATAATATTGCCCGAACCAAAATATGTTATGTTATCGTGTTTTATGCTTTTTTTAACTTGCACAGCTGTAAGATTGTTACAAAATGTTTTTGTTGCTTCGGATATATTACTGAAAATTTTACTTTCTAAAATGGATATACTACATTGGAAATTAGCATATCGTACAATTTGCTGATTTATACCTTTCGCACTATGTATAGCATGTAATAACTTATTATTACCTGATTCAAATGGAAACGTGGAATGACACCATAATGGACCCCAATTATATACACTTTTACTAATATGTAATAATTGATGTACATTATATGTCATTGCACGTTTGCCGTACATTATTTCTACATGTAGTACAAACTTATGTAATGACTCATCAATTATGTCTAATTGTGCAATAGATAATGATGTTCCTAAAAGGCCGTACAAACTTTCTACTAATAATAACCAATGTTGCAGAACTTTGTTATCTACCACAGTCTCAAGTAGAGGTACACTATAATATAGTAACCAATTTTCCCATTCTTTTGCTTTCCATTGATGCCTGTCTCCTAATGATCTTGTTAACCGACTTAATTGATTTGGAACTTGTATCTGAAGCAAAAGAAAATTTAATTTCTTCATATCTTCTTTTGTGACTAATTTTAAGATACATTCAGTTAGTTGTTTTGCTACTCCGGCTAAGCAGCAGTGTAAATAATCTGGCACAAAACCCTCTATTATGTTGAAATATGGTAAATTAATTAAAGGCGTAACATATTTTACACCAGCAATAATATTTCTGGATGTAACAGCCTGTTTTCCATTTCTTATAGTATCTGCAACCTGTCTGTTTATTGGACGGTTATGCAAAATTGGAAATCTCACGCATCCATCTATCCATTCTCCAGGATGTAAACACCAGTTGCATG